GTTATAACACAGCTTTACTGAGTGTACAGTAAGCATCCATCAGTCATTACAATAACAATACCTCTTAATGCTGTAAAATGTATTGCAACGACATAAAGCTGCCATACACCTTGGCTTAAACCAGTATAAGACGTCTTAGCCACAAGAGCATGCATGTAGAAAGTATGCACCTATGCTAACAGTTTCCTTTGTTTTCTAGCATTTACACTAAACTAACACAAAATGTCATCTGCAGATGTGATGAAGGGTATACTCAGTCATTTTTTTCTTTATTTTAATAGAAGAAAATACTGTACTCATAAATATACATTGATTAGTGAGTAGCTACATCTTCCAACAATTGAGGAACCCTCATGAACTTATCATTAATGTATTAAAAATAGATAACAGCTGCCATGTTGCCCAACCATCTTGAATACAGTGATTTCTGTTCTGCCTAATCAGCACAGCGATTATAGACTGGCCCCATACCAGAGGTGGAGGAGAACAGAAATGGTAGGCATTGGCATGCTGTGGACGGGCATTTTAATTCCTATCTGCATTTCAAACTGAAGATATCAAGGATCAAATCAAAAACATGAAAGGGACAATGCCACCACGATCCTCAAGTCTCATCTCCTGAAATGAAGCTGGGGCTCTAACACATGAAAATGTGCATAAACAAGTTATTTGCAATACTGTCATAGTTACTTAATGTGATCAGAAAAGAAACAATCTGCTGACATTTATAGATGAGATTTTACACTTTGTTTCCTGATGAGGTGTTCGCGGACCTGTTAGTTCTGGGGAGTTGTAATGCAATCAGTGTTCCTGTTCTTGATCTTGTGACATTTTTGGAAATTCAAACAGAAATGTGGTTGTTGTCACTTTAAGAGTTTCTCTCTTTTTATTTTAAAAAAATCTTTTAGATAATTTCATCTCAAATATTGAAACAGGTGTTTGTAAAAATAAACCACTGAACCTTGTTCACACAGAGAATTATAAACATTTAATCATGTTTAAAAAAAATTTAACATCTGTTTTCTGATTGATCAACTCTTGTTGAGAGCAGCTGCCAGCTGGTTGTAGCTCATCTTCCTCAGTATCTCCTCAGTTACCTCCTTGGCCCCCTCGGCGTGGTACTTCTGGACCATGAGGTCAACAGTTCTGGTTCTGTCTGCGGCCTCCAGTCGGCTGACGGAGATCGGATCAGTCCGGAGACTCAGGAAGCGCTGGAAGGTTTTAAGATCCTCTGAACCGAGACGGTTGAGCATCTGCAGCAGCTGCAGGGTCGCATCTTCGTCCTGCAAGTCCAGCACCTTCACTGACATGGGAGAGACCGGAACACAGATCAGACCAGATCCACACACATTAACTGATCTGCAAGACCGGTAATGTTGTGGTGATGGAGCTGTACTCCCTTAAGATGGTGTCGTAGAGGCCAAGATAAAGACAATGCTGGACAATACCTCCCACCCACTCCATGACGTACTGCCCAGTCACAGGAGCACGCTTAGTGAGAGACTGAGATTACCCATAATGCACCACTGAATGACACAGGAAATCATTTCTCCCTGTGGATATCACATCCAACTAATGCACAGTACACACTGCAGTAGTTACATCATTTTGCACATCCCCTACAGTAAAATAACAAATAACATTTAAATAAAGTTTTACAGTTTAGGGTAAAATGTCAATCATATATTTTTAACCTTTGTAAGATTCTGGATATTTATAATTGAGCTATTTGTTTATATTAAAGTTATTTTTTTTATATTCTGTAATTTTGTAATATATTGCATTATTTCATTTCCTCGGGGATTAATAAAGGATTCTGATTCTGATGTTTATAGATCTATCTGTGTGAACAAAAAGATCTGAGGTCACTCTGGATTAAACAGATTATTCAGATTAAGTCATCAGAAATGTTTGAAACTACAGTTATTAATTAAAGTTATGTTATCACTGTTGCCTGATAAACATTTCTCAGGTGGAACAGCTGGATTTCTGATTAGCTGATGAAAGAGTAAGTTTGGTTTGATTAAAGCCTCTAAAGGACAAAAAGCATGTCTGGGGGCAGCAGTCTGAAACTGCTGGACACCAGCCAATTAAAGGACAGGATTCAGACGCATGAGCACAAACTGGGAGCCAGGAAAAAAACACTGGGCAGGACAGGCAAACGTTCAATGGAGATGTCTGGCTGAAACAATCAAAGAGAAGCTGCAGGTTCACGAGCCTCCATGATAAAGTCTCACATTTTCAAGAACCATGATGTGTTTTCAGTTTGACTATGAATCAACTACAGACACAGGTAAAAGAAGGTCACATGTAGACTGAATTACCTTTTAGCTGAATGTCTCGGGCCCAGACCTCACACTCTTTGTTGCCAAACAGCCAGCCGATCAGATGGGATCCAGCCACATGACTCCTGAGCTGCAGCCTCACTTGTGTGGCTCCAGCCTTCAGCTGCACCTGGAATGACGGCAGGAAGTTGTTGTAGTCTCTGAAGTTCACGAACTTTGATATCTGAAACGATAAAAACAACAAATGAGCTTCATGAGAGTGTGTGTGTAAAAATTAAGATCTCGGTCTAATCAGGAAGCAGCGTCAACAAACTCAGCTTCCTGTTTCTGAACAGCTGATGGAGTTCCAATTCGAGGATTCACTATGGCAATGGTAAACAAAGAGAAAGTAAAGCATCAGGTGAGAGCAGGTGAGAGCAGGTGCAGCGTCCAAGTGACATACCTCTGGCTGGATGACTGTGACGGGCTCTCCAATCAGTTTGTATGTGTGATTTGGGATCAGTTCGCAGTCAGGAATAGCTTCGACGTACTCAGCCCCAATCCGCCGCTTCCACTCTTTTCTCACCTGCACATCAGGTGATCAGTCAGAGCCACAAAGACTGATTCAGGTATTTGTTACCGGTGTCAGAGGATATCATTTCAAATATAAATCATTTGAAATTTAAACCTTTCACTGCACTTTTCATGGATATTGTAAGGACCCTTCAGGCAGGGCCTGCTTACCTGAGTGAGGCAGACATTCCTGGGCAGCAGCAGGACAAACAGTGTGGAATTAGTGGGTTGAGAGAAGATCAACACCAGGCCAGCAATCTGGTCACTGGGCGCTGGGGTCACCAGACCAAAGCACGAGAAGCCCGAGATATCAACTGTCACATGACTATCGGTCACCTGACCTGGAGTGATAAAGTCCACACAGTCCCCAGTGACATGAGCTACAGATAGGAAGTGCTGACCACCATCTGCAAGATAGAAAAACATTCATCCAGAGACTATCAACAAACGTCAGCCAGCGATGGCAATTCAGACGTGTCTGACATGGTAACCCTGGAATGAGCCAAACACAAAATGTAAATCTAAACTTCTCTCCAAAGTCTCGGACTCAGAGGATTAAACAAGATCAGAAAGTATTTGTCTTTCCTCCAAAACATCAGGCGAGGATGATTTCTTCTGCAGGTTCTGTTTGCAGTCATGTGAATGTGAAGTTTGACCTCATGGTGGGACTGTGACATGTAACTGGCAGAAAACATGTCAAAGAAACAGTTAGTGACCTGAGAGCAGCTGGCAATGCGGCAGGTGGAGTCGCTGGAAGCTCCCAGTCAGCAGGTGGAACCTGAACAGAGCTCCTGCCACCTGCAGCCCTTTAGAGGACAGGAAGTCCACATCCCAGGGAACCATCTCATACACCACGTCACCAAATCCCTCCAACACCAGGCCTGTCAGACTGCACCTGAACACACCGTGCTGCTGGCAGCGCAACCTGGCAACATGGAAACATTACTGTTTATTTGTTAGCTCTTAACTGTGAGGTGATATTCAGAGCATCTAGACAGTGTTCACAGCCTTAAATTGTATTATACAGCCCTTTGCTGCATGTCTTCCCCCTTCTCTCTCTGCCTGCGCTTTCCTGTCGTTTCTTCACTGAGCCTTCTAATAAAGTTGAAAATGGACAAAAAAATATTTGTTTATAGTCTTTTCTCTAACTGATCTTCTGAGTTAACTTCAGTAATTACTTCCTTCAAACCATCAACGTGTCTTTTAGACCCCATTCCTACAAGACTCATCAATGAAGTCCTGCCATTAATTAATGCTTCAATCTTAAATCTGGTCAACCTATCTGGGGGTTTGCTCACTATGTGTTTATACACCACTCTGCATTTAATCATTAGTGAGTCTAAACAAATCTAAGATTGTCTTCATACAAGATACACATTCGACCACGTCAGACATAAAAATGCTGACTACAAGATGGCCAGGTCACTACTTCAAACTCCAAAGCTCATCAAAGATCCATAGGGAAGGTACATTATTGTTCAAGTTAATATCCTATAACCTGCAGCGGCTCCTGGGCCTGGCAGATTAGTACTACATAGAAGTGAAGAAGTGAAATAATTGAAAAGGAGAGGGAGGGTGAGAACAAAGAGCTTGTAGAACTGGGGGATCATATATAGATAAGAACCGGAAGGAGCCTGTTGGGAGGCATCGTCCCGCTCTCCATCGATGTCGGTCAGCAGCGACAGCTTCGGCTTCGTCCCAGACGAGGCTGACGGTTTGCAGATCCTCCATAAATGTTCAATGCCATGTGATCTTTGGCTAGCCTTGCTTTCCCTTGGCAGTGCGCGGGAACCATGTAATGGGGCTCTTGGCCCAGTACATGGTATGAATATGAATGGCTCTCATCCATTCATATCCTTTTCAGGGTCGTGGGACCCGTGCAGCTGTCAACCATCCAGACGCAGCAGTGGGAGTTGGAGTAGAGACCACGAAGGGCGTCTGCAAACTGCTGGGGGACTCCATAGTGATGTAGGATAGCCCATAGTCGGCCGGTGGACGCTGTCAAAAGCCTTCTTGAAATCGATAAAATTGATAGAAATCTTCTTTTGGTAGTCCAATGTTTGTTCAACAATCATGCGGAGGGTGAAGATTTGGTCGACACATGACCAGCCAATCCGAAAACCAGCCTGCTCTTCTTGCAATCGCTCGTCCCCTGCATGTCGTAGCCGACTCAAAAGAACAAGGCAATGAGGTAGAAAGAACAAACCATAGTATAAAATCGCTCAACTGAATGCTCCTATAGGGATGTGATGCAAACTAGAAGACTAGACAGAGACTAGACTCATTGAGATCATCAACAAGACTGGCTCTCTTCCACACTGTGTGTTTTGTACTGTATTCCTCCCCTCACCCCCAACCGGTCGCAGCAGATGGCCCCTCCCTGAACCTGGTTCTGCAGGAGGTTTCTTCCTGTTAAAAGGGAGTTTTTCCTTCCCACTGTTGCCAAGTGCTTGCTCATAGGAGATGATATAGTTGTTGGGGTTTCTCTGTGTTATTGTAGGGCCTTTACCTTACAGAATAAAGTCATCCAAGTGACTTTTTCAGTTTGAAGAAGAAGAAAAAGAAGTGATGAAACATTTCTCCCACTGAAAACGCTATGTCCAGATGAACAGAATCAACCTCTTGGTGAATACCTCAAAATGACAAAGTGAAAAGCTCCAACAGGTTTGATGGGGACCGTTGGTACTCGGCTATTTTCAGATCTCTCCAGAGATATTCAGTCAGGTTCAGGTCTTGGCTCTTGCTGGGTCACTTCAGAGTGGTCCCAAGCCACTCCTTTGTTATCTTGGCTGTGTGCTTAGAGTCACTGTCCTGTTGGAACCGTCGCCCCAGTCCAAGGTCCAGAGCCCTCTGGAGCAGGTTATCATCAAAGATGTCTCTATACATTGCTGCATTAATCTTTCCCTTGACCATCACTAGTTTCCCCGTTTCTGCTGCTGAGAAATATTTTGAGGTGAAAAAATGAATTTAATCCATTTTAGAATAAGGCTGTAACATGACAAGACAACATGACAGTGTGGAACAAGTGATGCACCGTGAATACTTCCACTGTAGGGTGAGGTGGTATTGATGAACTTGTATGATTTGGTGATAACGTCAGTATGTGTTGGGTCTTACAAATAAACTTACAAATAAAAACACATCAAACACCACAAACATAACTCGAGGTCACAACATCAAGAGCGGGGTAAACAGCAGCATGGCACCAGATCTGCCCTAACCTTCCATTAAACCAATCAGCCAACAACCCTGTGTTACCTGAATATGCTCCCATCCTCGCTGACCTCAGGTGTAATCTCAACCTGCACAGACCAACAGGTAAAAAAATGATTAAAAAACTGGACTGATAAAAAAAAAATCAACAATTAGCACATCAGTGACATCACAGTGACACAACTTACCTGTGGTGTATTTGTCTCCAACCTGATGTCAGAGTAGGTCAGTGATGTCACTGCTTCTGCTTGAAAAAAGAGACCTGCAGAAAGATGACATCATCACATCACATGATTACATCCTTCCTGATAAATATCGAGTCAAGTGTAGCTTAGCACAGACTTTGCATACATACACAGCGTTGGCACGATCTTCATCAGGATCTCCATGGCGACACGTTCTGCCCGATTGGATCCAAAGAGTTTTTCTAGAAGTCTCCACGTCGTCCGTCTGTCTGCATGTTCCAACTGCTCTCCACCAATGGGAGAGTGACTTTCTGCAGTCATGTATTTGTTGACCAACCACTGGAAACACTTGAGTTCATCTGAGACCAGAAACTCCAACATCTCCATGATGACAACTGAGTCTGAGGCATTCTGGGAAACAAAAATAGGACAGCTGGTGACATCATGGATCAAGGTGAACTAGTGGTCTTCAGACCTGACATTCCCTCTGAGCTTTGCTGAAACTGTCAGGTGACAAAAACAAACCTTGTCCCTGATGTGATCCTCTTTCAGCTCCTGCAGTAAAAAGGGTTCTGATTGACCAAGGGCGTGGTAGAACACTTGCTGAGCTTCCTCCCCCTTCCTGAGGACCAGGTCTACTAGAACCCGGTTCCTGTCCTTGCAAGCTCCGTAGATGGCAATGGCCTCCCTTTCTGAGGCGTTTAGGATCCTGCAGCATTGCAGGGCTTCCAGGATGGGGCCGGGTCTCTGGATCCTGCTGATAAGCTTCCGCCGCTGAGTCTTCACAAAGCCTTGGACAGGTTTTAGATCTGATTCAGGTCTCGGGGGGATCATGGTGAAACGTACAGGGCGAACCTGATGATTTCCGCCGATTAGAGACTGGACTGCGGCCAACACCGCTGGCGCTCTGTCCTCCTGGTAACACCTCATCATTGTTTTGGCGGTGCTGCAGGCGTCAGCAGACCGCAGCCAGCGTGGAGGGATGGGGGGGAAGTCCTGCAGCAGGTCTGACTGACTGAGACCCCACTGGATCCTCCAGAGCTCCACAATTGGTAGCTTTGAAAGCTCCCGCAGCAGTACATCCTCCTTACCGTCCTCCATTGGGGTATGGGGTGAGTCCCAAACCTGAACTGCCTCCAGCATGTCACCCATGAGTTACGTGAGTGCCCTCAGCTTTGACTGACAGGCCAAAAGACCTCCTGCAAGACAAGCAAAGAGGCAACAAAAACCCTGACCAAATCAGTTCAATTCCATTTCATTTTATTTATATAGTGCCAAATCACAACAATAGTTGCCTCAAGGGGATTTATATTGTAAGGTAAATAGGTGTGCAGAGCCATAGCTGGACTGGCCATCAGGCATACCGGGCATTTGCCCAGTGGGCCGATGGTGATTTTGTTTTTTTGTTTTTTGTTTTTCTTTTGTAACGGTATAAACAACGAAAGGTGGTGGATTGGCCAGATCATGGTCGATGTGTAAAAATAACTCAGTTTTTTGGTGGTGGCTATGGCGGAGCTTCCACCAGCAGGTTGATGAGGGAAAGGGGAGGCAGGAGGAGGAGAGACCCAAGACGGTCGCCGAGTGTCAGGTGAACTGATCTTCAGGTAAGAAATTATGACCTGCAGTCTATCTGGTTCAAATATAAACCAAGTTTAGGTGGAGTTTATTTTCGTTGTGCTAACCTTTTACAGTCACTTACAATACCTTGTAGCTAGCATGACGGAGTTTCTATACAGCTGGGTGGGTGCTTTGATGTTACTGATAGTGAACTTTATTTTATTCATAAGGTTAGTTAGTAGAGTTGCCAACCGTCCCGTAAAAAACGGAATTGTCCCATATTCAGAGAAAATATTATGTGTTTCGTATTGAGCCGAAAAGGAACGCAATTTGTCCCGTACTTCAGCTAGAATAAAAAAAAAGACAGAAAGCTGGAGTTATTCTGTGTCTTTACGCTGCACAGCTGCTTCTTTTTTATCATTCATTTCTTAAAATGTCTCGCTTTTAATAGCTAATTATCTGAAAATATGAACGTGTTTGAGAATTATACCAGTACATCTGATTTGAGGTGCTATTTTTTACAGGAGCTACAGTATCCAGTCATACGTAGTGAGGAGGTAAAATTATTAAGAAGATAATCGACCTCTGTTGGACTAGCGTTCAAGTAGCTGCTCTGCTCTGTGTTAGTACAGGGCATTGAAGATGATAACAGTGGGTGGATTATATTCTTAAACAGCACTTTCAGAAACACATCTTCTGTGATGCAATCTACTCCCCACTGCTGTGTAATCAATTATTGTAAATTTAAAAGTTATTAGGAAATAATCAGACAACAGAGGGTTTTCACCAGGGGCGGAGCGTGGGGGTGGCTTACTGGTGTTATGGTTCAAAATATTGGGGATGGAGACAAGAGGAAAACCACAATAACAACACTGGTCCGGCCGGGTTAAGTCAAACGATGATTTTAATAGTCACACGCATGGGAGATGGACACTGTATGCAGACAGCCTCAGATCTCAAAATGGTGGAGCATTGCTCAAACTCTTATAGCCTCTGGTTCTCCCACCTTATCATAAAAAGCCTAAACATTCACATGCTTTTCTCTCACACGGCGCCTAAGCTACAACCTTGGCTCCCCGTTTATCTGCTCCTGCTGAGTTGGGGCAGAAAACTCCAGTATATTCTGTTCTCTTCTAATCAGACAAATAAGGCGATGACTTTCTGCAAACAGTATTTCTTATAACATCATAAAACAATATCATTCATCCACAATAAATCAGCAGTCTA